CTAGTTATGTATATGTTTTTTAATTGGGCTACGTTAATTTGTAAAAGTTACGAATGAAATGTCATTAGTTGTATTTATGTAGTGTTGCTGAAAATATTTAAAAATTTAATTATGGTACGGAACCGAACCGAACCGAACCTGAACGGTTCCATAATTATATTTGGACGCTACAGGTCCATTTATTAAATACCCGAAAGTTTTGGGTCGGTTCGGGTCTCTTGAGAACCGAACCGAACCGAACCGAACCGACCCACGGACAGCCCTAATATTAGATTCGCCAGTATTTATTAAGATAAATGTCTTGTTTTCATAATTTGGAAGTTGCTATCGTAGTTTATATATTTGAGCAACTATTCTCGCAAACTTAGGCTTCGAATATATAATTAACACCATGTGACCATCTAGTTAATGTATGTTTTGAAACTATATAATAACTAAACATTCCACATGGAGGGTAAGGACCCCATAAATCACCCAAGTACTTTCCACAAATAAAAGGGATTTATTCACAACTTTAGCTGATGTGGTCGATTGACCAATTTTCCCTAAAAACACATTCGCACGTAAGAATTTATTAGGTTGAAAAATCTTTTGGTTCTTCAATGCATTAAATTTGAATTCTCAATAATTCTCATTATCAACGATCCAATATGGTCTAATCAGTCGTGTCAAATAATAAAATTTTCAAGTTATTGAAGATTTTTTTTTTCACAACGATAAAATGCAATACAAAGTAACAAAATTATATGATAGGACAATTCAATTACTCTTGAAGACTTAAATAAATAAGGTTATCATGTAGTGGACAATGGATCATTTCAATGTCATGTTGAAAGCCGTAATAGACAAGTGCACAAAATTTGTAGATAGTGACGTTCTATACTTGAATTCTATTTGAAGAACATACAATAGGATCCAATATTGGGATCATCGTGGAACCGCCACATAACCCCCTAAAGATCACGTGAATTACTACAATTTGTAGGAAATGTCTTATGATCCATTTGCTATTTGTATCCCTACCTTTGGGACATTTGTAGTGATTATTCTATTTAGACTCTAATATGATAGCTTATTCAAGTTCGCTTATTATAAAACTAATTTAACACTAAGAAAATTTGTAAAATATATCGCATGGCAATGTCATGATGAAAAAGAATGACGTTTCAAGCCTGTTTGGTGCACATTAAAATGAAAGAATGCATTTTTTTTTTTGAAGTGATGTGTTGGGGAATATGTGGTTGAAAAGGAAAGAAAAGTTATTGATGCAATGTAAAATATTATTTTATTGAAGAATGTATGGTTAAAAATGAGTAGAAGAATGAGAATGAAAAAAAAATGTGGTTCAAACAGGCTTTATATGTATTAACCAGGCCAATTTCGTCATTTAACCCGTCACGCCCTCTTATAAAAGCCAAGTGTCAATCCCACGTAAGTCCGTGAAAACGACGTTCCCCCGCACTTTAGATTTAGATAATACTCTATGACATGCCACGCGTCTCCACGTCTTTAGGCTCCGAATCTGGTTTGATTCGGCCAAAGCCGTTGATC